TTCTGTGTGTTGAAACATGATCCATCTCAATGACAACCTTCTGTGTGTTGAAACATGATCCATCTCAATGACAACATTCTGTGTGTTGAAACATGATCCATCTCAATGACAACCTTCTGTGTGTTGAAACATGATCCATCTCAATGACAACATTCTGTGTGTTGAAACATGATCCATCTCAATGACAACCTTCTGTGTGTTGAAACATGATCCATCTCAATGACAACATTCTGCGTGTTGAAACATGATCCATCTCAATGACAACATTCTGTGTGTTGAAACATGATCCATCTCAATAACAACCTTCTGTGTGTTGAAACATGATCCATCTCAATGACAACATTCTGTGTGTTGAAACATGATCCATCTCAATGACAACCTTCTGTGTGTTGAAACATGATCCATCTCAATGACAACCTTCTGCGTGTTGAAAGACAGGGGCCACAGATGAAATCTTGGTATTAGTACTATTGAATTTTCATCAAAACACACACTCTTGTTACGACTGAAACAGAAATTGAACACACGCGTGGGGTGACTGAAGCAGAAATGAAACACACACACACGTTTGGAGACTGAAACAGAAATTAAATACACACTCTTTGGACGACTGAAACAGAAATTAAACATACACACGTGGGGCGACTAAATCTGAAATTAAACACACGCGTAGAGCGACTGAATCAGAAATTACACACACACACACGTGGGGCGAATGAATCAGAAATTACACACACACACGTGGGGCGAATGAATCAGAAATTACACACACACACGTGGGGCGAATGAATCAGAAATTACACACACACACGTGGGGCGAATGAATCAGAAATTACACACACATAGGTGGGACGACTAAATCAAAAATTAAACACACACGTGGGACGACTGAATCAGAAATGAAACACACACACACACGTGGGGCGACTGAATCTGCAATTAAACACACACATGGCGCGACCTAATCTGAAATTAAACACACACACACGTGGGGTGACTGAACCTGAAATTAAACACACACATGGGACGACTGAAGCTGAAATTGAACACACACACGTGGTTTTACCGAATCTGAAATTACACACACACACGTGGGGCGACTGGATCTGCAATTAAACAGACATATGGAGCGACCTAATCTGAAATTAAGCATACACGCACGTGGGGCGACAGAATCTGAAATTAAACACACACACACGTGGGGCGACTGAATCTGAAATTAAAAACACACACACGTGGGGCGACTGAATCTGAATTTAAACACACACACACTTACACGTGGGGCGACTGAATCTGAAATTAAACACACACACACACACACGTCGAGCAACGGAATCTGAAATTAAACACACAATTGGGACGACTGAATCAAAAATTAAACATCTCCTCTCCTTAATTTTGAATAATCAAAAACATGTATTTGTTATGTGTTTGTTTTTTTGTAACCCAAACAGAACACCGTTTTAGATAATGACCGAATTTCGGCTTCGGTTTTGGCGCCGAAAGTTACAATTTGATCACTTACGGCCTAGTTTCCGTTTCGGCCGAAAAAGGAAAGTTAATCTTCAGTTGAATTTCGGTTTCGGCCGAAAGTGATTGAGACTTTCGGTTATCTACATAGGCCTAGGCGAATGTCAACAGTTTTGTGGAAGAAAAACCAATGGATCGGTAATATTCATATCATTATTTAAAAAATTTTTTTTTTTTTAGAAATACAATTAGGTTAATAGGGCTTGTCATTTAATGGAAATCTATTAATAGAACTGATGTCACCATTACTGATCATCCGGGTACTCAGTGCGGACAAAATGCCAACACTGTTCAGTATTACTATGTCAGCGAAGTTCCCTGAAACTTGTTGACAACTGTGTTTGACGAAATATTTTACACATTTTTTTTTTTTACTTTTATTTTCTGAAATGCGACGTCATTGCGCGAACGGCACATGTAACAGTGACTCTAGATACAAGGATCATCCGAACGCTAAGCTGAAACACACTATAAGCTGCCATGTTTTGAGCAATAGTTGTCCGGGGACCTTCTAAAAATAGTACGCTATGACGTTTTCCGGTCTGAGAAAGGACAAAGCCTATTCAAATCCTTTAATTGTGATCTTTATTTTGATTTATCATTATCATGCTCATCAATGTTGTCATAGGCAAAGGGGAATAGCATGGAATAATCCTAGGGAATTGTTATATTTCTCTTATCATTTTCGTTTTTTTTTTTTTTTTAAGTACAGCAAACTTTGGCTGTTTCAATTCATTCACTTCTTGAAATTCATCCTAATCATGCTCATAAACACTGTTATTGACGAAATAACACCCGTCTGCATGTATCACGGGTTCGTAGAGTAATTATGTCGTAGGCCTACTGCAAACCTGTTGACTTCACTTTTATGATTGTGGCGACAATTTACGTCTTTTGTGATTCTTGGTCGAGATCCGTCAGAACAACAATTTTAAGAGACCCGGTTAAAAAAAAAATTCCCCTACCAAATGGGGGTGAGGGAGGCTGGTCACTGAACGAAATAATTACGTCACCAGCACGGAAAGGCTAATGTGTTGGTACTAGGCTAAATATTAATACAGCGATATCTAGCCAGCTATATATGAAAACACAAAGCATTAGTGTGGCATAATCGCGAAACATTGTGGTGATATTTTATAGCGTTAATAACTCATATTTAGATGACAATTGGCTCCATTAGAGCCACAATAATTATTGTAGTTATAGGTCCTAGATTGTAATTATATTATAAAAGAAGAGGACACTCAATGGTCTATTTTGCACGAATTTTGCCCCACCCTCCCCCCTTCCAACCGGTCCAAATTCTCTCTTACCATACTACTTTAAAAAAAAAAATTTAAGAAATTTAAATGACTTTTAAATGAAAATGGTAAAAGCCTATTTTTTCATTCGATGTGTATTTATTACTATTCACGATGATCTCATTTTTATTATAAAAGGAATGTAAATAATCATACTTTCCCTAATCGATGTACGCAGAACTTATGCATGACATTTTTTTTAAAATATCTAAATATTTCGGCTTTGGTTTCGGCCAAAATTTTGAAAAGTCACATTAAGCTTTTGGTTTCAGCTTTGGTTTCGGCCGAAAGTAATTTTGAACTTTCGGCCTAAGTTTCGGTTTCAGCCGAAATCAGATAATTACGTTCCCCTCGGTCTCTACACCGTTTTGCTGAAAGTTTATTAATAAAATAAACCACGGCCATGATTAAAAAAATAAAAATAATAATAATAAAAAAATAACAATGACGCCGTGACCCTCTCGTCCGAGTTCTTCCCCAGAAAATTCACTGTGGTAACGAATGTGACGTATACAAAGAAAGTTATACATAGCCTCGTGGTGCGCCTGCGTGACAGTGTTTGTGTGTGTACTTCATCAGTAAAGTATTATCTGTAATTCTTTTCTAATATGAGCTCGAGAGATACAAAAATACATCAATCGTTGTTACATTTCAGGTTTAAAATAGTACACCGTAATACAGTCAGTGGCGTAGGAATGGGGGCGTAGGAAGGGGAGGGGGGTCAGCCTCTGGCGGCACTCTTTTTCTTATGTTGAGGGGGTGACATTTTCGGAGCATTGTAAAACATTTAAGCGGAAGGTGGCGACAAAAATCTTGGCTTGCCCAGATGGTAATTACCCCAGCTACGCCACTGAATACATTATAAGATTATAAGGAGGGGGGGGGGTTCAGTGAATAATGACTGATTGTAAAAATGTTTTTAAAAATTCGAACGTGATTCAACAAACATAAAACCACAAACATGATATGACAAACATAAAACCACAAACATGATATGAAAAACATAAAACCACAAACATGATATGACAAACATAAAACCACAAACATGATATGACAAACATAAAACCACTAACATGATATGACAAACATAAAACCACTAACATGATATGACAAACTTAAAACCACAAACATGATATGACAAACATAAAACAATTAACATGATATGACAAACATAAAACCACAAACATGATATGACAAACTTAAAACCACAAACATGATATGACAAACATAAAACAATTAACATGATATTACAAACTTGAAACCACAAACATGATATGACAAACATAAAACAATTAACATGATATGACAAACTTAAAACCACAAACATGATATGACAAACTTAAAACCATTAACATGATATGACAAATTTGAAACCACAAACATGATAGGCCAAACTTAAAACCACAAACATGATATGACAAACATAAAACAATTAACATGATATGACAAACATAAAACCATTTACATGATATGACAAACATAAAACCACAAACACGATACAACACACATGATTCAACAAACATGACACAGTATATTAAAAAGATTTAACACTGGATAGTCTATTAAAAAATTGTAGTATTGTTGAAAATGTACTTGACAAAGTTGGACTTCATAAATGTAAAAGCTCGTAAAGTGTGCATAATATAGTCAGGAAAAAATGTGAGTGTTAGACAATAGAGGCCGCCTATTTGCTGCCTATAACATGGTTGGCCATTTAAATGTCGGAAATCTATTAATAGAACATCCGGGCATGCAATCTCATTATGATGTTAATAAAACATGATGGTATTCCGTTTGGCCAATCTCGCAACAGCTGTCCGGTACTTTCACGTCAATGTGAGCCAGCCTAGATAGAGGGTCTTCTTAACCTGGACGGAAACGTGGTGACAACTTTATTTGACGAAAGATTTTACCAATTGTTTCTGATCTATATATATATCTATATATTGGGAAATACATTGTTAGATAGAGGCTATGTTTTACGAAGACATTGGCTAAAAATAGTAACTGCACGTCAAGCGCTGTGGTATTTTCCAGCCTCAGAAATGACCAACCCCTCCTATAAATAATATAAAGAATAGCAAGTGATTGTGATGATGTTTATCATGCATCCATCTTCAGCAGTGATGTGTTATCGTGTTCAGGCCAACTCAAACTGGAGGTCGACACATGTCACTAGTGAACCTTCATAAGATGTCTTAAGGTGTATGAAAATCTCTCCGCTGACCGGCAATGCCTTGGGGATGACAATATCAAATGGCTCAAAGTTGAAAGTTCCCTGAAATACAAAACATCGTAATCCACTCAACGACAATTGTTGTTCATCCTAACAAAGATGTACGCTATGAAATAATTGCGTCTAAAAATGGAGCTATTTACAATCGGCTTTCATTGTGAGATCCAGTTTGACACTCCAGGTTATGACTTACTGCCGGGAAAGGACATTGACAGGGGAGACCAATCTTGGTCAGCACAGTAGGACAATCCGGGCTTGTCAACAGTGTACAAGCGTCGCTATAGGTGCAGGAGCCGACACCATGGTAGCAAGGTATCTTGATCCATATTCCCAAAACTTTTTTCCATACCACAACACTGGCCTGCAATAAATCGGTTTAAAAGAACTAGCAGATAATCGTCCCTTGGGGGGGGGGGGGGGGGGGGGGGTCATCAAACATTTTCCCTAAAGGCCAAACTATCAAAAAGATATATGTGTGAAAATTTGTGGGTTGAAATTTATATATGGGAAATGTGTGGGTTAAAACGTTAAACGTGTGAAAGTGTGTAGGTTAAAACGATATGTGTGAAAATGTGTGGGTTAAACGTTATGTGTGAAAATGTGTGGATTAAAAGTTAAATGTGTGGGTTAAAAGTTATATGTGTGGGTTAAACGTTTTATGTGTGGGTTCAAAGTTAAATGTGTGGGTTAAAGTGAAATGTGTGGGTTAAAAGTTAAATGTGAGGGTTAAAGTGAAATGTGTGGGTTAAAAGTTAAATGTGTGGGTTAAAACGTTAAACTGTGAAAATGTGTGGGTTAAAACGTTAAACTGAAAATGTGTGGGTTAAAACGTTAAACTGTGAAAATGTGTGGGTTAAACGTTTTATGTTTGAAAATGTGTGGGTTAAAATGTTAAACTGAAAATGTGTGGGTTAAAACGTTAAACTGAAAATGTGTGGGTTAAACGTTTTATGTTTGAAAATGTGTGGGTTAAAACGTTAAACTGTGAAAATGTGTGGGTTAAAACGTTAAACGTGTAAAACTATGAGGGTTAAAACGTCATGTGTAAAAAAAATGTGTGGGCGTAAACGTAATGTGTGACAGTGTGTGAGGTAAAACGTTATGTGTGTGGAAATGTGTGTGTTAAAAAGTAATATGTGCTGCTGGTCGAAGCAAACAAGCGTCACGAGTTGCCTTCCCTCCTAGGCGATAATACCAAGGTTATGCTTGGATAATTGCCCCCCCCCCCTTTTCAAACCCTTTACCCTTTTGTAAGTTGAGTTGAGATGTTTCAGAATGTACATTAAACAACATTGACCTGGCGAGGGGTGTCGAAAGAAAATTTAATCCAAGTGGAAATGTGTGTGTTAAAAAGTAATATGTGCTGCTGGTCGAAGCAAACAAGCGTCACGAGTTGCCTTCCCTCCTAGGCGATAATACCAAGGTTATGCTTGGATAATTGCCCCCCCCCCCCTTTTCAAACCCTTTACCCTTTTGTAAGTTGAGTTGAGATGTTTCAGAATGTACATTAAACAACATTGACCTGGCGAGGGGTGTCGAAAGAAAATTTAATCCAAACCTTACCACCAGTGGAGAGCCAAACTTCGATTTAATCTCAAGGTTCCCCGAGACAGTGATGTTGCCAGGTGCTCTAATGGGGTCGGGCTCTAAATTGAAGTTAGAGGGCACAAGGATTTCATTGTCAGGGTCGGCGCAGTTCTTGAATGAGAATGACTTTGCTAGCCCAAAACCTTTCTTTTTCTTTTTTTTTTGAAGAGAAAATGAAAATAGGAAACATTATGATTAATATGTGTGACTTTAAAGACATGTAGAATTAGTTCTTAATCTTTATATAATCCACATTGTAAGCATCGTGTGTAATCCAACACTAGCATTTGACACCAGAGTTGTATGCACTGTATAACTTACTGGTAATCTCTGTGTTGTGTGAACGCAATAGGTAGGCAAACCGAAAGTAGGATGTGGCTTCAAATTTAATAGAACAGTACATAACATAACAGTACATAAAAGAACATAACAGTACGGCACATAACAGATCAGAACAGTACATAACATAACTGAACAGACCAGAACACTACAGAACAGACCAGGACAGTACGTAACAGAACAGACCAGGGCAGTACAGAACAGACCAGGGCAGTACAGAACAGACCAGGGCAGTACGTAACAGACCAGGGCAGTACAGAACAGACCAGAACACTACATAACAGACCAGGGCAGTACATAACAGAACAGACCAGGGCAGTACGTAACAGAACAGACCAGGGCAGTACGTAACAGAACAGACCAGGACAGTCCGTAACAGAACAGACCAGGCCAGTCCGTAACAGAACAGACCAGGACAGTGCATAACAGAACAGACTTAAGACAGTACAGAACAGGACAGTACATAACAGACCAGGGCAGTAGTAACAGACCAGGACAGTACGTAACAGACCAGGACAGTACAGAACAGACCAGGGCAGAACAGACTTGTATGAATGTTTTGTTGTAAGCAGTGTAGACTTCAATGAATGTTTTGTTGTAAGCAGTGTAGACTTACATGAATGTTTTGTTGTAAGCAGTGTAGGCTTCAATGAATGTTTTGTTGTAAGCAGTGTAGACTTGTATGAATGTTTTGTTGTAAGCAGTGTAGACTTCAATGAATGTTTTGTTGTAAGCAGTGTAGACTTACATGAATGTTTTGTTGTAAGCAGTGTAGACTTACATCAATGTTTTGTTCCAAGCAGTGTAGACTTCAATGAATGTTTTGTTGTAAGCAGTGTAGACTTCAATGAATGTTTTGTTGTAAGGAGTGTAGACTTCAATGAATGTTTTGTTCCAAGCAGTGTAGACTTCAATGAATGTTTTGTTGTAAGCAGTGTAGACTTCAATGAATGTTTTGTTCCAAGCAGTGTAGACTTCAATGAATGTTTTGTTGTAAGCAGTGTAGACTTCAATGAATGTTTTGTTGTAAGCAGTGTAGACTTCAATGAATGTTTTGTTGTAAGCAGTGTAGACTTCAATGAATGTTTTGTTGTAAGCAGTGTAGACTTCAATCAATGTTTTTTTGTAAGCAGTGTAGACTTCAATGAATGTTTTGTTGTAAGCAGTGTAGACTTCAATGAATGTTTTGTTGTAAGCAGCGTAGACTTCAATGAATGTTTTGTTGTAAGCAGCGTAGACTTCAATAAATGTTTTGTTGTAAGCAGCGTAGACTTCAATGAATGTTTTGTTGTAAGCAGTGTAGACTTCAATGAATGTTTTGTTGTAAGCAGTGTAGACTTCAATGAATGTTTTGTTGTAAGCAGCGTAGACTTACATCAATGGGATCCACCACGGGTTTTTTTGGCCGAGCAAACGTCACGTGCCTCAGCAAGGCCACGATGTCTTCGTGGGCTTTTAATTCTAAGTCACTCATCGTGGACGAAACTTCAGCCCGTGAAGTTACTGCCCCTAACGCCAGAATGGCCAACAGCCCAAACGTCTTCATGGCTGCACAAGGGGAAATTTAAATTTATGTTAAAATTATTTTTCAAATGCATTTTAAATTTTAAAATATTTTAAAGGAAATTGAGAAGTAAGCGAAGTATGGGGTACGACTACATTTTTGTCAAACAGAGTAGATCTAGCTTGCCCCTTGGACGTTACACACCTTGTTCAGTTTGGTTTCTTTCCAAAATAATGTTTGCGTTTCTAAACTAGATTCCAGTAATTTGGGTAGGGTTAATTGAAATGGAATCAACAATTTAGGTATTTAAACCTATCTTTGTTTTAATCGCAATCATTTCTTTCCTCTTTATTTACAGTAGAGTCAAAAATCCAACACATTACCTCTTTGTTCTCTAAAAATTATTCTTTTTTTTTTCCCCTTCTTTTATCGTGTGAGCTTGTTTAACTTTAACCCCATCTAAACTCAGTGTTAAAGAATTGTGTTTAAATCATGAACACTTTTTTTTTGGTTTCAATTCGTATGTTCTACTGTCTTTTGTTCTACTTTCTTATGTTCTACTTTCTTATGTTCTACTTTCTTATGTTCTACTTTCTTTTGTTCTACTTCTTATGATTTACTTTCTTAAGACTACTTTTCTAATTTTTTTAATTTCTTAGAATTTATGTTCTACTCCCTTGTGTTCTACTTTCTTCTAAGTTGCTCTTTATTCTTTGTAATTCTTGTCTTATGCACCGTACCATTCATTTTATTTACTACTAATAGGTTGTCAAAATTACAAACATAGAAATTCAATTTATCACTAAAGAGATTTTGCGGAAACTTGCACAATGGTTTCGTTGCCTTGAAGTGCAGTCCCTTATCGTTTTAGACATGGACTCACCTGCCACAGGTTGTGGCCCTTGTTTCCACAGGGTGTCTCGGCAACGTTGATTGGTCCGATGCGGTGTGGTCGCCAACAAAGCTTTCTGGAAAATACAAATAAAAGCCATTCCGTGATAATTTTAGAATTATTTTTTTGTTTGTTCTAGAAGTGGAAGCCAATTTCAACTTATCTATTTCGTTGTTGCAATAGTTCTATTTTTAACATCGTCTACACTAAAAATTGAAGCAGATAAAAAACTAAGATTAATTTTTAAAAAAAAAGAAAGAGAAAAAAAAAAGAAAGAGAATGCAGCTTAAAGCTATAATGCAATCCACGATTAATGTTAATGCCAGCGTCGCTGACTCACGCGTCAGGGGGTGCACTGAGCCCAACGGGATTTAAATCATCTTATATAGTTTGTGATTCTTGGCGCACTTTCACTATTTATAACACAACTAGGATAGGGTTATGTTTTCAGTCTTGTTGAATGCATGATTTATTTTGGTTCATAGCTACTTCAGCGGATGAAACATACATGATGCTGTATGGGGCCGTAAGTACTCCGACTGTTATCTTCACCAGAGCCACGCACACTTCCCCCGCGCAGGTGCCGGGCGGTGACAAGCCCCGTCACATCCCAGCCGGATATGGACGGGCGGCAACGCGCGTTTGTGGCACTTAAGACACTCAGTTTATCAAGGAGGGAAACGTCTACAGAAGGTCCCTTATCTCCTGCAGCAGTGGGCCATCCTTCAAACATTACCATTCTTTAACCGTTTAAGTGTTATACTCATGACCTGAAGACAACAGCGGCATATGACAACTTGTTAACTCCGTAGTGTCACTCAAGAAACATGTCTATTCAACTTGTTAAGGGGGCCAAGCATTTAGAACTTACAGAAAAACGTCAAATTTTACACCCCTCCCCCATGGTGCACGCGTAAATTTTGCGCCCCCCCCCCAATCCCCAATGCGTACGTACAAGATGCTTTCGACCCCCCCCCCCCCCCCCCCAAAAAAAACCACACACACACAAAATACATAAACGAAATCAAATAATCATATATAGGTATATATATATATATATATGCATGGGCGCCCGCAGAAAACTTTCTAGGGGGGGGGGCAAACAATCGATTAACTATCCAGGGGGGGGGGCAACATTTTTTAAAGTAATTTTTAATGTAGTTTTAATTTACTGTAGCGTATTTGTATGGTGAACGAACGGACAGGACATCAGCTTAGTTACTTTCTCTTTATTTTCTCTTTACTTTAATAATTTGTTTGTCTAAAATTTTTTTATCCAATCAATCCAAGGGGGGGGGGGCAAGTGCCCCACCTTGCCCCTACCTGCGGGCGCCCATGTATATATGTGTGTATATAAAAGTGAAAATGTGTTAGTTTATTTCACGCAGGCCTTTCCATGCATTGCTTGCTATTGACCAACTTGTTGAACATAGATCCATCATTCCGTTTGGGGCCCGGGGGCCCAGAATTCTTTTCTTTTTAAAAAAAAAATTATATGAGCTATTTAAATGAAATAAACAATCAATAAGTACTCCTACATGAATGGATGGATCTTGAACATGAACCAAACTTAGTACAGATACAAGGGATTAGCCAGAGTCATTATTCATCATTGATTGCATCATTAGCTTGTTAATCAACAGCGTACAAAGTTTTTTTTACACTTACAATTTAAAATGCATAAATCAATTAAAATGTTGTTTAAAACTCAAAGTCATTGTTTGTGATATAAATATGATTCTTGTCAGTAAAACTTAAAGTCATTGTTTGTGATATAAATATGATTCTTGTCAGTAAAACTTAAAGTCATTGTTTGTGATATAAATATGATTCTTGTCAGTAAAACTTAAAGTCATTGTTTGTGATATAAATATGATTCTTGTCAGTAAAGCTGACCATTACAGTATAGTTTCTTGCTGCTATCATCTTCGTACGGAGGAGCTAGATGTTGCTCTGTCGTAACAATGGCCATCCGGAACATCATTTGGGTAGGGCAGGGGGGCATTTCTTCCTGAATTTGGAGGTTATATTTCAATCGCTATGTCTTGTGGCGCCTCCAGTTTGAAACAATTCAACAAACCGACCAAGTTTTGGTTTTGCCCCCTCCCTCCTTGGAAAAAACCCTGAAATGACTCCCCTGCATTGTCGGTGCTGTTCATCGTGCTTTTTCACCATGACTGGGGATGCAAAATAGACGATACATATTTTGCAAATCCGTTCCAGCAACGCTGTTATGATTGCTACTCACTTTAATTTCCCCCTAATTCTCAAAATATCATATTCCTACATCAATACCATTGATCTTGACCGCACATGACTCTTTGATTCTTGTCCTTGTTCCATCCCTGCAACATGACTGCAAACATGATCGCCCTAGTCGTCAGCGACAAACAGAATCTACGTGCGAAGAGAGGCCAACTTTAGACTTCTCTTGCCCCAACAAAGTGTGCTAACATTCTGACCAGCCATCTGCAGTGCACAGAAAGACACTCGTCAAATAAATCTTATAGTGTTAAAAGCCTAAAGATTCAATGACTATTTACACTCTTTTGCGCATATCAATGTTTGCAAAAAATAATATAATAGCCAGTCAATTTTTAAGATTAAAATTTTAAAAGAGAAAACTTCCCCTTGTCAACAACTGTCCAACATTGCCACATCCCTTCCCCCCTATTGTGTTGACATAATTATTGGACCCCCCCCCCTCCCGGCGGGCTTGGTGCAAACACTTGAGTATCTACTGTTTGCAGTTACAAGATAAGGCTAAGCGACATACAAAATTGTTTTATTTATTTTGACCCAACTTCGCCCAACCCTTTATTTATTTTTTTTTTGTTCATTTTATTCGCTATTTCCAAGAATACTTGTCCTAATTTAGCACAGGAAGCCTGGTGAATACCTAACAATTTTGGCATAGGCGCAGGCGCCGGAAATGGAATAGTTTTAGGGGAGGGGAGATCGTCTCACCCGCCAGTTGGCAACCTACGGTGGACGAAACATTACTGTAGCACTGCTACTGCTGAGTGCTAAATGAGCGATATCTAGTGAGTTCATCCGTGAAAACACTAGGCAACAGTAGGGGGATCATTTCTGCATAACATATGTTTAGAGCATTCCAGATATAACATTAACATGCAATATTTTTTTTGGAGTGCCGAAATTTCAGTGTGGTTAGGTATAATTTTTGAATAAATGTACGTACTTTCTGCCGAGAAACCCCCACCCCTGGGTCATGCATACGCGTACACATGATCTCCGAAATCAACAACCCACACTTCACTCCCCTCCCCACCCCAAACCCCCCAGTGCGTGCAGACTTCATCATAAGGATGGTTCCTAGCGTGTAAACGTGTACATTCGCTTTGCATTCAATACGTTTCAAGTTATTTTGATTTTAAAAAAACAAAACAAATTAACCACTTTTTTTTTTTTAAATTCGTTTTGACAAACATACTACAATAAAAAAAATGTCATATTGTAAGCATTTTTTAAAAATAGTTTAATTATATTTTTAAAAAAACAACATATTGCTGACGTCAATCACCATCAGTGTCCTTGCATTGTTAAACTAAGTGTTATGATGTTCTCATGTGCTGACGTCAGTGACCATCAGTGTCCTTGCATTGTTAAACTAAGTGTTATGATGTTCTCATGTGCTGACGTCAGTGACCATCAGTGTCCTTGCATTGTTAAACTAAGTGTTATGATGTTCTCATGTGCTGACGTCAGTGACCATCAGTGTCCTTGCATTGTTAAACTAAGTGTTATGATGTTCTCATGTGCTGACGTCAGTGACCATCAGTGTCCTTGCATTGTTAAACTAAGTGTTATGATGTTCTCATGTGCTGACGTCAGTGACCATCAGTGTCCTTGCATTGTTAAACTAAGTGTTATGATGTTCTCATGTGCTGACGTCAGTGACCATCAGTGTCCTTGCATTGTTAAACTAAGTGTTATGATGTTCTCATGTGCTGACGTCAGTGACCATCAGTGTCCTTGCATTGTTAAACTAAGTGTTATGATGTTCTCATGTGCTGACGTCAGTGACCATCAGTGTCCTTGCATTGTTAAACTAAGTGTTATGATGTTCTCATGTGCTGACGTCAGTGACCATCAGTGTCCTTGCATTGTTAAACTAAGTGTTATGATGTTCTCATGTGCTGACGTCAGTGACCATCAGTGTCCTTGCATTGTTAAACTAAGTGTTATGATGTTCTCATGTGCTGACGTCAGTGACCATCAGTGTCCTTGCATTGTTAAACTAAGTGTTATGATGTTCTCATGTGCTGACGTCAGTGACCATCAGTGTCCTTGCATTGTTAAACTAAGTGTTATGATGTTCTCATGTGCTGACGTCAGTGACCATCAGTGTCCTTGCATTGTTAAACTAAGTGTTATGATGTTCTCATGTGCTGACGTCAGTGACCATCAGTGTCCTTGCATTGTTAAACTAAGTGTTATGATGTTCTCATGTGCTTACGTCAGTGACCATCAGTGTCCTTGCATTGTTAAACTAAGTGTTATGATGTTCTCGTGTGCTGACGTCAGTGACCATCAGTGTCCTTGCATTGTTAAACTAAGTGTTATGATGTTCTCGTGTGCTGACGTCAGTGACCATCAGTGTCCTTGCATTGTTAAACTAAGTGTTATGATGTTCTCGTGTGCTGACGTCAGTGACCATCAGTGTCCTTGCATTGTTAAACTAAGTGTTATGATTTCCTCATGTGCTTACGTCAGTGACCATCACTGTCCTTGCATTGTTAAACTAAGTGTGATGATGTCCTCATCTGCTTACGTCAGTGACCATCAGTGTCCTTGCACTGTTAAACTAAGTGTGATGATGTCCTCATGTGCTGACGTCAGTGACCATCAGTGTCCTTGCACTGTTAAACTAAGTGTTATGATGTCCTCATGTGCTGACGTCAGTGACCATCAGTGTCCTTGCACTGTTAAACTAAGTGTTATGATGTCCTCATGTGCTGACTTCAGTGACCATCAGTGTCCTTGCACTGTTAAACTAAGTGTTATGGTGTCCTCATGTGCTGACGTCAGTGACCATCAGTGTCCTTGCACTGTTAAACTAAGTGTTATGATGTCCTCATCTGCTGACATGAATTACCCCCCCCCCCACCCCCCGGGATAAAATGTGTACACAATATCATATAACGAAAAAAAATTTTTTTTTAAAATTACTGAATTGTCATTTTTACAAAGAATAGTGACGTGACTCATGTGCTGACGTCAGTGACCATCAGTGTCCTTGCACTGTTAAACTAAGTGTTATGATGTCCTCATCTGCTGACATGAATTACCCCCCCCCACCCCCCGGGATAAAATGTGTACACAATATCATATAACGAAAAAAAATTTTTTTTTAAAATTACTGAATTGTCATTTTTACAAAGAATAGTGACGTGCCTCTAACCGATTACAACTGGTGGAGCCCATGAAATATTGCAAAGCTGAATATATTTGATCATACCTACATTAATTTAAGGTAAATCGTGTAGAGCAGTGCTTCTCAACCTGTGGGTCCGACCCCTTTCACAGGGGTCGCCTAAGACCATCGGTAAACACATCCACTCTACAGTTATGACGTAGCAACGATAAACATTTTGTGATTGGGGGTTGGCACTACATGAGGCACTGTACTAAAGGGTCGCGGCATTAGGAAGGTTGAGAATCACTTCTGTAGAGGAGTACACTATTCGATTATAAATATCGCACTGTTGTCCCT